TTTTTTTTTTAAAGATAAGTGGAGGAAGGAGAATGACCTACAAATTAATGTTACAACTGCCATAATGATTCCCTTTCTAGAATTCCAGTATTTAAAAGAAAAATAAAATTGAAACATGGTCTCTCTGTGTAATCCTGTCTGGTCAGGAACTCGTTATAGAGGCCAGGCTGACCTCTAACTCACAAAGATCTGCCTGCTTCTGCCTCCTGAGTGCTGGGGTTACAGGTGTGAACCACCATGCTTAGTCTGCACCACCACGCCCGGCTAGTTTGAGAGAACTTTTAAAATTTCATTTATTTACTTTCAGGTGTGTGTCCATGCATGTGTGTATGCGTGTGTGTGTGTGTGTGTGTGTGTGTGCGTGCACATTGCGTACACCTGCTCCAGAGCTTGCATGTAGACATCAGAGAACAACTTCCAGGAGTCTGTTTTCTCCTTCTCCCATATGAGAGATTGAACTCTCATAGTCAAGCTTAGATGCAAGCACCTTTACCTGATGAGCTGCATCAGTATTTAAACATAAAAAATTATTAAGCCAGGCGTGGTGGCGCACACCTTTAGTCCCAGCACTCGGGAGGCAGAGGCAGGTGGATCTCTCTGAGTTCAAGGCCAGCCTGGTCTACATAGCGAGTTCCAGGCCAGCTGGGGCTACAGAAGAACCTGTCTCAATAAGACAAAAAAAATAAATTAAATAAAATAGTAAGATGCAGAGCACTGAAGCAAGACACTTTAAGTTGACCTCTGGCCTCAGTGTGAACCCACAGGAACACATACGTGCACCATACACACACACACACACACACACACAAACACAATTTGAAAATTAGAAAAGAGAGACTTAATCCTGCTTACTCCAACATGCCTGCCCTCTCCAGATCCCAAAGACAAAATTGACATTGGGCTGCCTCCACCCAAGGTCCACCGGACCCAGCAGCTACGTGAACGGAAAAACTTCCTCCAGGAGCTTCGAGCCAGTGTGGAAGAGGAACGGGCAGCCCGCCTCTGCACAGGTAAGCCTCCATGAAGAGGGATTCCAGGTGCACCCCACTTCACCCTGTATCCAAACTGGCCTTTTTGTTCTCCAGCCAGCATCCCGCTGGAGGCTGTGCAGGCCGAGTGGGAGAGGACCTGTGGCCCCTACCACAAGCAGCGTCTGGCTGAGTATTATGGCCTTTACCGAGACCTGTTCCATGATGCCACTTTTGTGCCCTGGGTCCCCCTGCATGTGGCTTATGCTTCGGGTGAGGAAGACTTGGTACCTGTGTATTATGGCAATGAAGTGACTCCAACTGAGGTATGTCTTACTTGCTGTGCCCATTTCCTGCTGTGTGTGTACATGGGCATATCCTGTCATGGCACCACAGCTCTGGGTTTGAGGTTTTGTTCTATCTTTGGTTTCCTGGACATCAACACCATGACGGTTAAAAAAAATAAATACAGCAGGGCATTGTGGCGCACACCTTTAATCCCAGCACTTGGGAGGCAGAGGCAGGCGGATCTCTGTGAGTTCAAGGCCAGCCTGGTCTACATAGTAAGTTCCAGGACAGCTGGGGCTACAGGGAGACCCTGTCTCAAAAAGACAAAAAAAAATAAGTCAATACAAAAAGCAGCTCTATTTTTGCATGTCCTGGGACCAGCCACTGTCTTTGGAGTGGCGTCACAGACCCTGTCCCTTGCACAAGGTCCTTAGAGTTCAGTTCTCAGGACCAGCAGCTCAGCAGGCTTCCTTCTATAAGCATCTCTTTGCCTCTTGGTGTCTGTGAGGAGCCGTCGGGAATCATGATTTGAGTCAAGAGTGGGCACTCCCTCCTCCAGGGCGCCTGCAAGCTCAAGCCCTCTGTAAAGAGTGTTCCCAGCAGCTTGTCTGTCCCTGGTGAGGATGAAGCTCTCTTGATCTCTCCCTGCCAGGCTGCCCAGGCCCCAGAGGTGACCTATGAAGCAGACAAGGACTCCCTATGGACACTACTACTCACCAACTTGGGTAAGTGTCTGAGGTGTCACCTACTCTCCCCCTCTGAGCCAGGGCCCTGGGGAGCTGGGCATGGTGGCACACTGTAGCCCTGGCACTGAGTCTGCAGGATCCATAGTTAATTGGGTATGTTTCTGTACAGATGGACACCTGCTGGAGCCAGATGCCGAGTATGTTCACTGGCTGTTGTGAGTATCTGGGTTGGGAGCAGGAGGCTCTGGGAACAGGGCTGCCCTAGATTAACTATGGAACTCTGGATTAACTTCCTGTGTTCAAGGAGGTGACATCCCACCTTTACCTTCTGATAGTGTTGGGGATCCTGGGATCCAGGTGTATACATCAAGGCAGGTACAGAAGTAAATGACCGGGACTAGGCGTGGGGGTACATGCCTTTAATCCCAGCACTCAGGAAGCAGAGGCAGGCAGATGTCCATGAGTTCCAGGCCAGCCAAAGCTATATGATGGGACCTTGTCTTTATAAAAAATGGCAGTAGGCCTTGGCCAGCCCAAGCCTCTTCATTGCTTTGAGCTCCTGTGGTGCTGGAGAGTTACCACATGCCTTCTCCACCCGAGGGGTGCTGTGACAGTCACAGAAGAGAAGGACCGGGGAGGCTTGTGGGAGCTGTGACATCACCAAACCCTGGACCCCTGGGCATTCCTGTCCTGAGCCATCCATGCTAGACTGCCCTTTATTTTCTTAGTGGCTTTTGGTTCTGAACATAGGCCAAGGGGCAAAGGTCGGGCAGGTTCTCCTGGGTAGTTGAAGCCAGTGACTGGGAAGTTGGCTTCTGTCATTTTTTGTTTCACTTTCAGTTACCAACCTGTTCAGTAGGACTCTCCCAGGGGAGCTGTACCTGGGTAGATACAGTGGCCATCCCAGTGCCAGGCTGGGAAACTCCTGATAGAACCTGGGCTGGACAGAGAAGCAGCCCAAGGGTGGTATGACTTTCTGGCCTAAATGATGGGCAGATACCCTGACTCCCAGGACCCTAGTAAACTAGCTGTTTGGCCTTGTCATCTCTGGTCTGAGTCTCTTTGGGTCTGTGTGTTTGCAGCATGTCCCCAGGTCATTCAGCTCAGCTCTTACCTTATTGGATGCTAGCAATTTTTAGGGTCTAGCCCCTCTGGGAGGGACTTCAGCCTCTAGGGTGCACACACTGGGGATTCTCCTGCCACCTCGGCAGTGAATAGATCCTTTCTTCCTACCAGAACCAACATCCCAGGCAACAGAGTGGCTGAAGGACAGGAGACATGTCCCTACCTCGCCCCATTCCCCGCCCAAGGCTCTGGCTTCCACCGCTTTGCCTTCTTACTCTTCAAGCAGGACAAGCCAGTTGACTTCTCCGAGGATACCCGCCCCTCACCCTGGTAATCTGTGCCCTACTTGCACTCCAGGCCTCAGGTCATCTCCCCAGAAGGGTGGCTCTTACTCCTTCCTCTTCTCACTTGACATGGGCCTTGAGACTGGCAGGAATTCAGTGTGTTGGGTGGACCCCACGGGACTTCCCAGGATTGCCTGTACTGCTAAGAGGGGTGAGTGCTCCTTCCCACTCTCAGACATTCCCCCATCTTGTCATAGCTACCAGCTGGCCCAGCGGACTTTCCGCACTTTTGCTTTCTACAAGAAACACCAGGAAGCCATGACTCCAGCTGGCCTGGCCTTCTTCCAATGCCGCTGGGATGATTCGGTCACCCACACCTTCCATCACCTTCTGGGTAAGGGCATTTTAGGGCTTGTTGGTGGGGCAGGCCTGTGGGCACAGACCTCTCCTGCCATGCCTACTGTCCATCAGTCTCCTGTCCCCTGGGTGGGCAGTCCCATCAGGGACTCCAGCCCCATAGGCAAAGGAGGTGGCGTTGGTCATCCCTGGCCCTTCACTCTTCTTGCAGATATGCGGGAGCCTGTGTTTGAGTTTGTGCGGCCGCCCCCTTACCACCCCAAACAGAAGCGCTTCCCTCACCGACAGCCCCTGCGCTACCTGGACCGGTATAGGGACAGTCATGAGCCCACCTATGGCATCTACTGAGGGGCATAGTGCACCCACCTCAATACGAGAGCTGGGCCAGCAGGAACAGGAGGGCCAGGTGCTTGAAGCTCTGTCTGAGGCAGCGTCCTTCAGGGCCCTTCACATCAGGCCCAGGGACTTGCAGTGAAGGTGTGAATAAAGAGGATTTTTCCTATTGCTGATCTGTTTCTGTGCCATGAGCATCCAAGGAAACCACCCCCCACACACACACAGTGGAAATGTAGTGCCCCCTGGGTGGGGTGAGGGGGCCTCTCCCCAGGAGGTGACCCCTCACCTCCCCTGCTTGAGGTGTTAAGATACCCTGTGGTCTGGAAGCAGATTTCCATGAAAAAAAAAAATGGAGAAGAACCAGTCCCATCCGCTGCTTGAAGGAGCCTGGGAACCTGAGCCCCTGGCTGGGCACTCCTGCCCTGGGGTGGGGATGAGAAGCCATTAGGCCTAGCAACAAGCATGCTGAGACCACCACATGGTCCAGCGAAGGCCTTGAGCCCCCACTGTGGACACCAAGGCAAAAGGACATGGCCCTAGCGGTCAAGGGAAAGTCTCGTTACTGGCAGTGAGGCAGGGCCTCATTCCAGCCTACTTGGTTAGAAAACAGTGAAGCCCCTTAGAGTCACACTGCCCATGGAGGAGACCCAACCAACCCCTTTGCAATCTACTCAGCTGTAGAGGAAATGCTTGTGACCCAGTGAAAAGTTCCACTCCAGCAAGGGGAGGAGCAGCTGGAGGTGCGTTGTAGAGCGGGAGGGTGTGAGGCGAGACCTAGCTGACCGGCCATACGGTGAGACTTCATTAAATAAAACAAGGGGTTCTTGGAAAAAAAACAACAGTTAACTGGCTTTTGGTAACCAGAAATTTCCATCCCATTGTTATCCGAGGAAGGGCTATCCCAGTGGGGTGGAGCTCTAGGTAAGCATTTTCACTCTCGCCCCAGCCAAGGAAGCCCAGAGGCCATTGCGTGGGTCCTGGGAAGGAGTGGAGGCGCCGGTGGGCCCGAGGGCGGTAGCCCAACTCCCAGCGCGTCCGGGGTGGGCAGGGTGCCTTGGAGCCCTGCCAGGGGCCGCCCGAGACCGCCACCGCCTTCCGGGCGGGGCCTCGCTCCTCCCGCCGCGCCGGGGCCGCTTCCGCCATGGCGGCTCCGCTGCTGGAGGACAAGCTGACCTGCTCCATCTGCCTGGGGCCCTACCGGGACCCGGTGACGCTGCCCTGCGGGCACAGCTTCTGCGCGCGCTGCATCCGGGACTCCTGGCGCTGTTGCGACAAGACGTGCCCCGAGTGCCGCGAGCCGTTTCCCGCGGGCACCGAGCCGCGCCGCAATGTGGCGCTCAACAACGTGCTGGAGGTGCTGCGCGGTCCGCGGCCCGCGCCCGACCCCGAGCCCCGCCTCGCCGACCGCGCGCTCTGCCCGCGCCACGGCCGACCGCTCGAGTTCTTCTGCCGCACCGAGGGCCTCTGCGTATGCGGCGCCTGCACAGTGAACGACTGTCGCCGCCACGAGGTGGCGCTGCTGGACGTGGAGCGCCGCGAGCGCGAGGTGACGCCTGGGCTCTTGTATGTGTGTGTGTGTGTATTGCCTGTATGTGTGTAAGCGCACGCGTGTGCAGTACCCGCGGAGGTCAGAGGAGGGCGTCGGATCCCCTGGAACTGGAGTTACGGGCGGTTATTAACCGCCGTGTGGGTGCTGGGAATTGAATCTGGGTCCTCATGTAAGCGCACGCGTGTGCAGTGCCCGCGGAGGTCAGAGGAGGGCGTCGGATCCCCTGGAACTGGAGTTACACGGGCGGTTATTAACCGCCGTGTGGGTGCTGGGAATTGAATCTGGGTCCTCTGCAAGAGCAGTCAGTGCTCTTAACCGCTGAGCCATCTCTCCAGCCCCTTGTATTAGTATTTTTCCTGCATGTGTCTAAGTGTACCACATGCGTGCAGTGCCTGCAGAGGACATTGAATCCCCTGGAACTGGGTTACAGACAGTTGTTAGCCAACATGTGGGTGCTGGGAATCAAACCCAGGTCCTCTGCAAGAGCAGTCAGTGCTCTTAACCACTGAGCCATCTCTCCAGCTCCAAGAAATGTTTTTTTTAATTTTTATTTTATGTGTATGCATGTATTGCCTGCATGTAGGTAATCTCATGCAATGCCCACCGGAGGTTAGAAGAGGCTGTTGGACCCCCTGGGACTGGAGTTACAGACAATTGTTAGCTGCCATGTGGGTGCTGGGATTCAAACCCTGGTCATCTGGAAGAACAACCAGTGTTCTTAACCAGTGAGCCATCTCTCCAGCCCCAGAACCTGGACATTTTATGAAACCCAAGGGTCTAGCTTCTGAATTCCATACCCAGACCTCACCAAAGCCCACTGGGCGGGTCCCCTAAGCTGATCTGCTCCATGCTGCAGATGAATCTGGATGAAGCAAAGCCAGGGTGTTAGCTAAGCAAGGGCCACAGGAGGAAGAAAGGGAGGTGGCCTTTAGGTGACTCTTCTGGGCCCAGAGAGTGCCAACCAGAAGGAGGATCTTGGGAGGAGCATCAAGGTAGTTGCAGCTTGGGCCATACATTGGGATGATGGGAAAGAAAATGAGAGACAAATCCCTGAAGATCCCCAAATAAACCTTCCAGGCCACCAGGGACAGGACCGTGATGGGGGCAGTGATGGTGAGGGCTGGCTCTTACTCTAGGAATGTGCAGAGCCTTTGCAAGCTTGAAACAAGCTGCCATCCAATTTCCGCTTTATGAAGATCGAGGCTCGGCTGGGGTATGGAGACGACAAGAAGCAAGTAGATCAGAGCAGGCAGGAAGGAGAGAGGAAGATGGAAGTCCCAGTGCTCTGCAGAGGTAGGGAGCGGGGCTGCACGCGAGCAACTAGGGAGACAGTTTCTGTGGGTGACTGGGCTGATGTGACTGGGCTGAGGCTGGGTAGAGAGCAGCTTGGTTTGTGATACACAGGCGATGTGGATACAGTGGGCACAGCAGGGGAGGGGCCATTTGGCATCCATCTCAGAGGAGATTTGGGCAACAAGGGGAAAATTGGGAATCTTTGAAGGTCTCTAGAGGGAATGGAATCTTTTGGTGAGCCTGGGCAGAGGAGGTCCTTCTTGCGATTACACCAAGCCGGAGTGACAGAGCATGGTGGCCAGGGCACAGCCAGTTACAGGAAGGAGAAAGTGGTCCCCAGGTGCTCTATGCTACTGGGAGGTTCAGTAAGAGACAAAATGACTGTTGTAATTGGCACCATGGTTGTGGCCGTTTCAACTAGGGATGCGGGGCCGAGCTGAAATCACTAGGGACTGGCAGAGGCATGGAGAAGTGTGTTCTACAGAGTGGCAGGATGGTGGGAAGCCCAACTGGCAGGGAAGAGGGTCTGCTGGTGGGAGGGCTGATGGGCTGGAACAAGTGAGGGATGGGAGGTGGTAGATGGAGAATGGATGCTTGGGAAGAGATTTTGGAGCTGGTGACAGGGCCAGTGTGAGGTGGCAGAGACAGGGAGAAGGAAAGGGAACTTCAGAGTGTTGGGGGATAATCCCTGGAGCTGCTAAAGCTCCCAGTGAGGATGAGACTGCTACTCAGGACAAGGTGGTGTGTGCCTTTAATCCCAACCCTCTGGAGGCAGAGGCAGACAGATTTATATGAGTTCAAGGCCAGCCTGGTCTACATAGCAAGTTCCAGGCCAAATGGGGTTATAGGGAGACCTGTCTCAAAACAACAAAAAAGTAGGAGACTGAGTTGGGCACAAAAGTTTTCAGTGGAGGTTGGAAACTGACATCAAAGGAGGGCTTTTGCTTGAGAAGAGAGAAGACAGAAGACAGTATGGGTCAAGGAGGACAACCCCAAAGTGTTTGAAGGGACAGAGGCCTGTCCTTGGGGACAGTGTTGAGGGAGCCAGAAAAGGTTGCTGCCTACTTCCTATAGTCACAGTGGGTATGTACTGAGTGGAGCTAGGGCCTAGACAAAAGGCTCAGCCTTTGGACGTCAGGAAATGAGGGCTGCCAGGCGTAGTGGCACATGCAGAAGAAGGGGAATCTCTGTAAGTTTGAGGCCATCCTGGTCTGCAGAGTAAGTTCCAGGCCAGCCAGAGCTATGTAATGAGACCCTGTCTTTTAAAAAAGTGGGGTTGGGGGCAGGGGCTGGAGAGATGCTCAGCATTGAGAGCACTGGCTGCTCTTGCAGGTTCAATTCCCAGCACCCACTTGTCAGTTAATAATTGTCCTAACTCCAGTTCCAGGGGATCCAGTGCCCTCTTCTGACCTCCACAGGCATTGCATAACACAGGTACACTTACACACATGTAGGCAATACACTCATACACATAAAATATAAAAAAATAAAAGAAGACAGGTGAGAAGAAAGTAGGAAAGGAGAAGAGGGAGAGAGAGAAAATAAACGAAACAAAAAGAGGATTTTGCCCACACTGTCTTTCCTAAGTCTATTTTCTCATCTTAAACTAGAAGTAAGGGCCGGGTAAAACGCTCCTTCCATAAACAGGAGAACCTGAGTTCAGATCTGCACAGCCCCTGGAAAGATGGACAACTTAGTGTGTCTGTAATTCCAGCACGCCTATGGCCAGATGGGAAGCTCAAGGGGCAGCTAACCTGGCACACAGAGTGGCAGAGAACGACTGTTTCAAACAAGAGGGCAGGCAAGGACTGACACCTGAGGTGACCCTTTGACCTTGTGTGTGGACACATGTACACACAGGTGGGTTTTTTTTAATGTACGTATGTGTTTTGCTTGCATGTCTATAAGCGCCATGTATGTCCCTAGTGCCATGTTAGCTGCCATGTGGATGCCGGGAACTGAACCCAGGTCCTCTGCAAGAGCAGCCAGTACTCTTAGCCTCTGAGTTGTCTGTTTCTCTAGAAATGTTAAAAAATAAATCAGCCAGGGCTGGAGAGATGGCTCAGCGGTTAAGATCACTGAATGTTCTTGCAGAAGACCCAGATTTGAATCCCAGCACCCATATGGCAGCTAACAGCTGTCTGTAACTCCAGTTCCAGGGGATCTGACAGCCTCTTCTGACCTCCGCGGACATTGCATGACATGGGTGCACTTACCTACCTGCAGGCAATACATGCATACACATAAAAATATAAAAATGGACGGGCGTGGTGGCACATACCTTTAATCCCAGCACTTGGGAGGCAGAGGCAGGCGGATCTCTGTGAGTTCGAGGCCAGCCTGGTCTCCATAGGGAACCCAGGACACCTGGGGCTACAGGGAGACCCTGTCTCAAAAAAAAGACCAAAACAAACAAACAAACAAAATATATATATATATAAATAATAAATAAAATTTAAAAAAAAAGATCAAGCATTGTGGCACATGCCTTTAATGCCTCCAAGAGGCAGAGGCATGTGGCTTTCTGTGAATTCCAGGCCAGCCAAGGCTGCATATTGAGACTCTGTCTCAAAACAACAAGGAAAATAAATAACAAATTTTAAAAATAAGGGTGGAAGCTGGGTTTAGTGGCACATGCCTTTAATCCCAGCTCTCGGGAGGCAGAGGCAGGCAGATCTCTGTGAGATTAAGGCCAGCTTAGTCAATATAGCGAGTGCCAGGCTGGCTGAGACTCTGTCTCAGACAAAAAAAAATAAAATAAGAGTGGAGGCCATAGGGTCCCCACCTCAAAGTGATATTGGAAGGAGCACCAGCAAGTGAGACTCAGCCAGGTATAAGGAACCAGGCAAGTTCTAACAGGTCGCTGGGGAACAGGGACTGCTGGAACCACCTGGTGTCCCCTGCTCCCATGATAGCACATTTTGATCCTCAAGGGAGAAGGGGCTCAACCAAATAATAGAGGTTCCCTCCTCCCCTTGGGCTCTTACACATTAAACTGATCACTTGTCATTTGTCAGACAACTCTGGTCATCCCTCCACCCGACCCTCAGGCCACAGAAGCCACTTTTATTGCTTCCATTTGGTGATTAAGGTTGGGGGTGAGGCTATGGACCAGAGAGGTAAGAATTCTGCCCAGGCTAGTCAACCTGCCTGAGGCACAAGTCGGGCTGGGAGATAGGTCTTCAGCCTAAGCTTTCTCATACCCTGTATTCCATCCTGTTCCATGTCCAGGCCTCCCTGGACTCTGACATAGTTCTGGGCTTATACTAAAGCTGGCCTTACTGATCAGTATGGCCTGAGGTGGCACAAGGCGAGCGTCCCGCATCTATGGTGTTGGTGGTGTGACGTGAACGTCACAGCTAATCCTGGCCCTCTTTTGTAACCCTGCATACCACAGAACCAGCTAAGAGCCAGGGTGGAGGTCACCCTGCAACAGATCACTCTGGCCAAGACTCAGCTCCAGGAGCTCCAGCAGCAAAACAGCCTGATAAAGGTACTTTACCATATCTTTACCACACTGGACCCCACCTACCAGTCCCTGGGCCTCGGGGAATAGGTGTAAGCTGCCTTAACAATGCTTTGGGGGCAGCAGGGAATGAGGGGCTTAGCAAGAAGCCAGGCCCTACAGGGAAGACATTCCAGGGGTCCTAGCTCCCCATATCTCCCCTTCAGGCTAATGGGCGACTAAGGCCCTGGCCTGCCTTGATATAGTGGATACACTGAGATTCCTCCTGTGCCCACACAGAGTTCAGCCTGCACCCTGGCCTCTGTGGTCTCCAGCAGATTCAGCAGCCTGCTGCAGGCCCTGGAGAAGCGGCAGGCCTTGACACTGAGGGACATAAAGGCAGCCAACAAGCAGGCGCTGGCCCAGGTTCTAAATGAGATACAGCGGCTGACCAGCCACCTGGAGGCCCTGGAGCAATATGACTACAAGGTCCGGGATCTCCTGGAGCAGGTAGATGACAGAACCTTCTTCCAGGTATGAGACCTCGGGGCAGTGGGCTAGGGCTATGCTTCCATGCCTTGGACCCCTCAAACTCACTGCTGCTGTCCCTGGGGCTCAGGAATTGCAGCAGCTCTCTGAGCCCCTAGAGTCCCTCGGGCCACTGACTCCACCACAGTGGGATGAAGACCAGCAGCTGAGGAACCTGAAGGAATTGCTGAGCCCACTCTGTGACCTCCTGCTGGAAGAGGAGCACGTCCCCAGGGTGGCAGGCAGCTCTACTGACCCTGGCCCCCTGGGTGAGGCTGCCCTGTTTATTACCGTTCCAAACCCAGCTATCCCTCCTCCCATTAAGGGGCAAATGGGGGCGGGGGGGCAGCTCATCCCCACTCACTCCCCTAACTCTGCTTTGTCCTTTAGAGTCCTTGAGTCCCCTGCCTCCAGTCCCCAATACAGTGTGTCCACTGAGGAAGAAACTCTGGCAGAGTAAGATCAATGTCTGTGTGTACACATGTACATTTGTATGTTTGTGTGCACGTGTGAATATGTGTGCATATACCCATGTATGCTTCTGGGAGGGGGTTCCTGCTGTGACTGTCCTATCCATGGCCCTTCCTCTACACACCTGGTGCAGGATGTGAACCTTGTTCACACCCACCCGGAAAGAGATGCAACCAGCATAGCTACTTAAAGAGATGATCTGTTCTGATTATGTGGACATGGGATCCATTACAGTTCTTCCACTTAATGCCACATTTGCTTAGCTCTCTGAGCCTATTTTCACTCTTGTAAAATGGGGCATGTGGAAGATTCCAGCTCAGGTAGCAATGAGGAATTAAATGCTGTGTTGGCGCCTGGTTCTCAGCCCACAGTACCCCTGGTACTCAGTCCACAGTACCCCTGGTGCTCAGCCCACAGTACCCCTGGTTCTCAGCCCACAGTACCCCTGGTGCTCAGCCCACAGTACCCCTGGTGCTCAGCCCACAGT